ACACACACACACACACACACACACACACACACACACACACACACAAACCAAAGGCAAAATGAGTAAACAAGCACAGGAAAAATAGAAAAGTGTGTGTCAAACTCCAAGAAAATAATCTCCCACAACAAGAAAATAGAACAGGAAACAGAAACATCCAAACAAGGGTGACGTTTTAAAACCAACAGCAGGCACACATACTTAGATTGCTTCAGCATTTTTTAGAGTGTGTGCATATCTGATAATACGAGTAAGAATTCCTGGAGAGAAGTTGCCGGTGAGGCTGATAAAGAATTCCACGATGATGCCGAGTTTGGAATGTTGCTGTTCTCATAGGCTAATTACAGTTTCTTTGGGGTTAATCTTACCCTGCAAGTGACCATTCCTTGCCCACCTCTGCATCATACCTAACATTCTGATAAACAGATAAGAACCTTTGGCATGATTAACAGCACAAAACTCTATTTCCTACCAGTGAACAGGCTGAACAGTACTATGAGATAGCATCCTAGGAGTGCAGCTAAGGTCTCTGTACTTCTGTAACTGCCTCCTAATGTTTCCACCAACGTATTTTAAAATTGCCTTGATTTATAACTTTCTTTGTTCCTTTACTATAAAAGCTCCATAAAACTGCCTCCATGTTGGAACATTGTATTTGAGGAGAACTAAATCTATGTTCCTAGGCCACGGTCACTCACATTGTACTTCAGAACAAACTATCTCTTATTCCTCTTCAGGTAGGAACTGTGTTTTTCACATCAACAATAAATAGTCTTTTACAGTTAATTAATGCTTAAAATTTTGAAAAAAAAGGAATAAAACAAGACCATGTAAAAGATGGCAGAGAATCATTTCATGTCTCTTTATGCATTTTTGCATCTTGGTGGGCAAAATCCTTTGAAATTGCACATAAGTAGAGCTGGAAATAGAATTTTCATCATTCAAAGAATTTCTGTTCAAGCAAACAATAACATCGACAATGGTAACACAAATGCCTGTAATTGCAGCGGGTCACAAAGGAAGTGTTGCAGGCCATCAAAAGCCAGCCCTTCAAGGGAGCCTTTTGAAAATCATTGTCCCAGTTCAGGCCTTTATTCTTCTCATTTTGCCCTGTAGCTTCCCACCCCCTTCTCCCTGCACCCACCAACAGAAGGACACAGGAAAGTAAATTCCACCATCCACCAGAAATAGATAAGCAATTATCTCCTCAACTACTCAGAATCAGTTTTTAAGTATCAAAAGTCAAATTATCAGTCAATTTAATGTTCCTCTTGCCATTCAACTCTGATAGAACTTTCCCAGCTGCTCTCATTACTGATGGACATCCATTCCTACTTCCTTCATTATTTGTTCTCGGAAACAGGCTCCACTCAGATGGCACCTCCTTTAAGGATGGCCCTTCTAGTGCAGACAATCACTTCAACTTGTATTCCTTTTGCAGGGAAGCCATTTCTTCCAGGTGTAGCACAACCATCAGCCATCATGAAGCACAGTACCTTGTCTTGCCATCATGACAATGAAATAGTAAGACTATATGGTAATAGCTAAGTCTATAAGAACAGAGCGGGCAGAGATTCTACAGCATCGTAACCAAGACTCACCCATCACTCAATCTTAACTTTGGGTTAGATATAGTCTTATGTGGTGCTAGAATGTGGACCAAAGAATGGAACTCCAGAGATGCAGCCTTTGAGCCATTGCTCATGCTTGGGTTGGATTTTTGAGTAATGCAGCTATCTTTGAGATCTATAAGCAACCTAAATAAGGTCTTTTGTTCACCAAGATAGACTTGGATGGAATAATTTCTTTGACCTGTTGGTACCTTATTGCTGAGTGATAGTTACTTATTTGTGGGTTCAAAGGTCATCGGGGGTGGTTTCTTCCCCTACAATCAGCTTATAAGACAAGGACCTGAAATGCCATGACTAATTAGAAGACTGGAGATTTCTGGTCCTAGGGCACATGCCATTCTGAACTGTGTGGAAGATCACAAGATCATTATCTAGTTGGAGGCTTTCTGTTAAAGAGCAAAGGCATACTATTGTCACCTCAATTGAGAATTAACCCAAATGGGCCTGTTAATCACCTGGATAGGATAATGCCCCTCAGGAAAATCTGCTAATCCTAGAGAGTTCAGAAATACTATAAAAGCCTACTAAAAATGTAGGTAGGCTCAATGGTTTTTCTGGTCACTCTCTACTCTCTACTCTGTTTCTCAATGATCCTATAATTGTCTCTTTGATCATTGTCCATTCTCATCCCTTGAGGGTGAGCTCTGCTCTGCAAGGATCCTTTTGCCCACTGCCCATACTCACTCCTTGAGAGTCCTTCCCTTTACTCTGAAGTGAAGTTATCCGATTCTCTATCTTGTCCGAGTTCCTTTAGTGGTGATCACAAGGACCAGGGAGATGAGGTGAGTTCAGAATGACAGTGTGGTAACACTATCTGAGACAAATTGATGTTTCTTTATATCTCCCCAGGAAAGCTCTTGCAACAACCAGTTAACAGAATAGTCTTGTGATCCTATGTTCTCTTGGCACTCTGTACACATCTAGTGGACTTTTTTTGCATACAGCTTTGCCCATTATATTAGTTCATTTATTACCTTTCTTATCTAGAATAAATTCTCCTCCATCAGGTTATATGAACTCAAAATTGAGTTTTATTACCTAACAACACAAGCCTTGCCCCAGTGGTAATTATAATGGCTAAGATAGATACATTATCTGTTCTAGACATTGAGTACTGTCTAACACACTACATTGAAGTAGTAGTTCACAGTGATTTATTTTTATCTCTTAAGGTTGTCAACTGATTGGATTCCTCTTGGGTTTTTTGGTGCTGATCTATTGAGATGACTATGTCAAGATTAGACCAGGATAAATGCCAAAGATGACTTGGCGACCCACATGCCTGCTGCTTAGTGCCCAGTGTCACAATCTCTTCAGGGTTTCTCTGGATGGCATGTTGACATGGTGGTTATAGTACACAGTTTGGCGGTTGCTAAGTAGAAAGCAGAACTGTATGGATATTTAAATGAAATCCCTAAGTCTGGCGCTGGGTTTCTTTGGTCATATTCTGTTGATTAAACTATCACATGATCATGCTGGTTACAGGGAAAAAACAAGTGGGTAGAAATACTGTTGTAATATTTGGAAAGCACCATTGGTTTCATCTATAGAATGCACCTTCTGCATTCACAGTGCTAAATACATTGAATGTGTTAAGCCATTGAACAATTTTGATAATGTTTTGAGACAGTTATCATTGATATCACTTTTACTTAGTAGTGAAAATAGCACTAAGGAGGAAGATAAGTGTCTAAAATGTCACAGCTAATAAGCAGCACAGATAACACCATCATCAGAGTGTTCTAGAGTTTGAACTCTCAGTCACGGAAGCATTTAGTTGCTCCACTGTGATAACTAAGTAAATGTTTGGCTTTAATATCAGCTTTCATGGATTAGCTCATCAGAATTCCTTTTATGCTTGCAAATTTCAGGAAAAAACTCCTCCCATAAAATCAAATAGAGAAGGATGAAAAGCAAGAATGCAGAGCCAAGTTAGGAGGCACTCAATCTCAGAAGCTTGTTATTTAGCCCGTGACCATGTCTCCTTTGCTCTTTGTGAGGATCTCTCTTAATCAGGAAGTTCTTGTCCCTTTTACCTTCTAATATTTTCCAATTGGGCGTTTTCTGGGATATCCTATTGACACTGGTTTCTCATCTTATCCATGCAAAACTTCACTGTTTTACCACATTTCACTTGAACATGACCAACTGTTTCCCTGGAGTCAGCTTTCCTACATCTTATCTTCAGGTGAGAACTGGGTTCAGACAAGATACCGGCATTCATGTGACTGCCTTCATAAATCCAAGTTTTCAACACATTTATATCCTAAATACTAAGCACTCATTATGAACCATGTGTGATCTAGTTCCCCAAACACTTGTCTACCTCATAAGATTCCCAAAGGCAGTTATTTCTTTCTTATTTCTAGTAGTAACACATAGTATCTTAATATTTTGACATGGTTCAATTAATTTTGTCACATTTGAGCATGAATTTTCTAACTTCCTGGTAAAGAAAGCATATTAAATATGATGCCCTGGCTTCTTTTTCTGTTGCTGTGATAAAACACCTGATAAAAGCAACTTAAGAGAGAAAGGGTTTGCTTCAGCTCACAGTTCAAGGGTGCAGTTCACCCAGGTGGGAAGCCAGAGTAGCAAGAGCCTGAAGCCACTGCTCGCATCACTTCCCCAACCAAAGCTCTGCTCAGCCCCCTTTCCCTTTTAAAAGAAAGTCCAGGATACCAAGCCCAAGGAATGGAGCTGCCCACTTTTAAGAGGGTCTCCTCACCTCAGTAACCCTAATCAACCTAATCAACCCATCATAGGCATGCCCAGAGGATAAATACTCCCTCACAAGTGTGTCTGGAGGCTTGTTTCCTGAGTGACTCCAGATCTTGTAAAGTTGATAATTAACACTGTCACACGCACACTGTCTAAACCACAGAAGATTGTTTAGTTTTAAAGGTGACTCCAGCCATATTGGAAAATACTTGTAATAGAAAGGAGGCTGAGGAGATAGATCAGAAGTTAAGAGCACTTGGTTCTTAACATGTGGGTGGAGACTTCCTTGGTCTCTCCAAAAATACATACATTACAGGTCACAACAGTAGCAAAATTACAGCTGTGAAGTTACAGTTGTGAAAATAATTTCATAGATGGAGGTTATCACAACATGAGGAACTGTATTTAAGGTTCAAACCATTAGGAAGGTTGAGAACCACTGTGCTAGAGGTTCTGAGTTTGGTTCTCAGCACCCTTATCAGGCAGCTAACAAAGAAAAAAGAAACTCTGAAAGAAAATACCCATTAAAATAATCACCACTTGTAATGGCCTTAGTTAGTGATGGTTTTTTGTTTATGTATACATCTTTGTATTTAAAATATATGTGGTGATCACTGTGATTGCTAACTTTTGTCTTGACTTGTTCCACAGAGAAATTCCTGGATGATTATTAAAGAACCCAGGAGGACCCATCCTGGACATACACAGCACCATCCACTGACTGGATCCTGATTATAATCTAGAAAGGAAGACAAGGAAGCCTGATAAGTCATTCTCTCTCTGTGGGAATGAATGCAGAGCCCCTGCCACACTCTTATGATACCCCAGGAGTCTGCTTTGCCTCAGGATTAATGCACTTATCCATGCCGTCCTGAACCTAATCTTCTGAAATCATCTTCTGAAACAAGTAAAACCAAATCCTTCATTCCTTAATTTGTCCCTTACCACCTATTCAAATCAACAAAGAGTTAGCTTGGTATTCTTGTGGGACTCCTGGGTGTGGAGCATGTCTCCAACTCTTTTGCCTTCACTTGGGGTTCTTTTCCTTCTATGGCGTTGCCTTGTCCAGCCTTGACATGAGGGTTTATGCCTAGTCTTATTGTAACTTGTTATGCTGTATTTGGTGATATCCTTAAGAGGCCTGCTTTTTTTTCTTGAGGGGAACAGTGGAGGAGTTGGTCTGGGAGAGAGTGCAGGAAGGGAGAGGGACTGGGAGAAGTGGAAGGAGGAGCTAGTGCAGTAAGGATGTAATATGTAAGAGAAAAATACGAGGAATAAAAATTTTTAAAAAAGGAGAGAAAAGTCTGGCCCGGGAGTTGGCTCCTAATTACTTCTAGGGACCCAGGGAGGCAGCCATACTGACTGCTCAGCTGGGAATAGGACTTTGATCTCTGGCCAGCACAATAAACTTAAATATTAAAACATACCACAGCCTTCATTTATTCTATGTGACATTTTAAAAAGTTATAACCCAGAAAAGTCAAAACTTCTGGACAATCCTCTGGAGACAAAGTTTGTTCAGCTGGAAGTTCCCCAGGAGAAGTAAGCTAGAGAGGTCTGTCAGTCTTTCCCACACAGTGAGTTTGCTGTTAGAGGAGGGGAAGGCCGCTGCCAAAGCATCGTTTTCTCAACTTGGACCATCTTCATTTTCTCGGGACTGATCATGCCTGCTGTTCCTGCAGTGGCATCTCTGGCCTTGGAAAACTTTCTCTGTGGATCTCAGCTGTGCTCCTCGCACAGCTTGTGTTTTTTTAATTACCAATGAACCACACCACGGAGTCCTAGAGAGGCAGCGTCCTCTGCATCAGGATGGGTCTAGTTGGCCCGAGAGTTGGTTCCTAATTACTTCTGGGAAACTAGGAGGGCAGCCATACTGACTGCTCAGCTGGCTATTGGGCTCTGATCTCAGGGTGCCAAAATCACTCCTTCTCATTTCCCTTCGATTCAGTAGGGTTTACACTTATTAATTCCTGCAAATCAAAATGAAGCTGCTCTCTGAGGTCGAACACAGTGGTGGTTCACACGTGTTATGAAGGAAAATAATGATCTGGAGTTTACATGGAGTTTCATTTTATCATTCCCACAGAAGAGGGAAATATCTACTGAACATTCCCTGGGTGCCAGACACTGTGAAGAGCTTCTGTGAGAGGAGTTTATAAGCATCTCCATTTGGGGTTGAGTAAATTTTATCACACAAGGCTTTTAAGAGGACATATTTCTCTAACAAGCAAAGCCATCATTCAGTTTGGTGATATGTCTCTGATGAGAAATACATGAAGAATTTGTTCTTGATCATTGCAGGTAATCATTGAAAACAGTTTAATATGGCACACGATTATGGAGTCTTAGATGCTTTTCAATCACCATGACAAAATACCATGACTCAGAAATCTTATAAAAGAGTTTAATTTGAGGCTGGCAGTTCCAATGGGGTAGAGCCCATGGCTACCATGGCGGGGAGCATGACAGCATGTAGGCAGGCATGGTGCAGGAGCAGTGGCTGCTCACATCTTACCCACAAGCATGAGGTAGAGAAGCCTGGCTGAAAATGGCATGTGCTTTTGAAACATCAAAGCCTAACCCCTGGGAACACACATCCTCCAACAAGGCCAAACAGTTCCACCATCCTTGGGTCAACTATTCACATATTTAATTCCTGGGGACCATTCTCATTCAAAGTACCACATATGGAGTTAAGAGTCAGATATATGTGACTTCAACAGAGAGCTCTGACTTTGGAAACATCATCACCCTAATGAGAATCCTGTGTGGTAACAGGGGAAGGTTGTTTGAATGGTGAGCAGCTAGAATGCATGACCTGGTTCCTGGAATGAATGATAAGCAGATTCCATGGCTTGCAGGGGTGGCCAATGATCTTTGTATTCTCTCTGGCCTTTCATTCTTATGGTTAGATATCTAAGTGAGAAAACTATCTAAGGGTGTTATTTTGCTTAGCAAAATTCACAGGGGCCTATGACTAGTAACACAAACACAGGATTGCCTATGTCAATATCAACTAAAGGGACTTTTTATGACATTTCCTACCTAGCCATCTAAGAAGGTAGTGAGTTCTTTACCCAGAGAATATTGAATTGAATTTTGATTGTGTCTCACAGAGATGTCCCTGAGTGGTGATAGTCATGTATGGTTCTCCTGTTCCATGCCTCAGTCTCCTCTATTTCTCTTTAGAATTTCTATTTTATTGTTTTGTTAAATTGCCATGAAAACTTTCCAAAACAAGCAAACATTAAAGATATATTCCCTTATGCAAAGAAAGAAAGTTATCAAATGACTTGTGCCTGTGTTCCCATGGAACTGCAGACTGTAGAGTGAAATTGTGTTACATATGGCAGACACAGAAAACTGACAGCTGGGCAGCATTCATCAGCCCATTCCAATATTCCCAGAGTTAAACTTAATCCTGATAATAAAACTCTTTCGTAAGGCTCTGTAGGTAGCACCTTTCCTATGCAACACTAAGGACTAGATAAAATAAACCACTGAAAATATGGGCCCACCATCCTTTACCAAAGTCCTTGGGGCTTGGGATTCAGAATATTGTGAGTGAAAAACCATATGGTCTGTGTGCAGTGTTCTCTAAATGTGCTCATTGATATCTGGAATAACTCCTGGTTATTTTTCAGTAAGACACATAGAGAGGTCACAAAGTGGGGTTTGGAGGACAGACATTGTTGAAAAAAATTAGCTACAAAATGTCTGTTAGTATTTCTAAGTCCTCTGACTTTGAAAATTGTAAAGAAGGAATCATCAGGCTGATTTGAGTAGCCTTGTTACCACCAGTGTGATTTGGAAGAAAGTTTAATTGTATAGCACAATGCTCATAATAAAAAAAGAATTTCTGAGCAGGTTACTGGAAATAATACAGAGTTTAAAAAGTATACTAACATTTAAAAACATTCTACACAGATTTAGAAAATTGAATTCAGAAATCACCAGTTGAGTAGTGGTTGAGTCTGGGTAATTGGTCATTTTCCATTTCTTATTTTATTTTGGATATTTTTCTTAAATTTCCATCAACACCAGGAAACATTTGAGAAACAAACAGACCCCATTTATTTTTGCATCTTTTAGTGTCTTTCACTGTGGGACCTGGGAGATTGTTTGTACTTCCAGCATGTCCCAGTCTGGGATGCATGATCATGTCCTCTGCTTGAGGCTCCAGAAGGTCCCAGCCAGGACATGGTTCATGGGAAAGGGTCTGGGAGGAAGAGATGGGGAGCCACAGCATCAATGATCAAGGAACACTAGAAACCAAATCTCAAGTCTCCTTTCCCCAGCTCTGATGTGTTACAGGGCAGCAAGCAGGCAAAGTGCTCACCCCTGAAAGCACTGCTGTGCTGCAAAGAATGAGGGAGGCTTCATGTAATTGAACGGATTTCCAGGGAAGCCATCAGGGAAGTGCAGACAAAGACAACGCAAAACACCTTGCTAGCTTCAGGAGCCCCTTAGAAACGTGACTTAGAATCTGGACTTTCTGAGTTTCTTGTGGAGTTTTCCCATCATTCTTTCCATAATGCCAAAATGATTTGTTTAACACTTAAAGAATGCTATTAGAAGATGAACACTAACCTTCGTAAGTGATATGCCTAGCCCAGCATAAAGCATGGTGAGTGAATGCTTTTAAGAAAGTCAAGGAATTGTATAGAAAGATGTGGCAGGTACCTGTGTGGCACATCTGCACCTATATGAAATGTGTGAGTGTATGTACCTGTCATACATGCAGGAAGGTAAACATATTTACCTGTGTGTGTGTATGTGTGTGTGTGTGTGTGTGAATAGTGTCCATTTCTCTATCATCCATTCATTTGTATTCATCCATCCATTCATTCACTATAAAAGTGTCTACTGAGTAATCACAGTGATTTAACTGTTTGTGTCCTCCAAATCCTCAGGTTAAAACCTAACCATCAAGGTGATGGTGGTAAAGGATGGAACTTTGGGAAAGTGATCAGGTCACAGTGGCAGAGCCCCCAACTAACATTTATGTCTCCACAAGAGAGACCCCAGAACACTTCTTCCTGTCCTTCCTCCCATGTGAGAACACAGCAAAGAGATGCCAGCTATGAGACAGGGGTAGATCCTTATGGAGCTCAAACTTGTCTGCACCTTGTACTGGGGCTTTCAGGGTGCAGACTGTGAACCCCGTGTTTCTGTTGTTTATGAGTTTCCCAGATGAGACATTTCCTTGTAGCAACCCAACACAGAGAGGAAGGAATTGGTTCCCAGCCACAAAGGTCATTTAGAATTCAGTTATAGACTTGTAAATAATTTCAGGTTGAGGAATCATGAGTCCAGACACACATTGGTGATCTCTATTCTTTGGCCTGCAGAAGGACATGAAGATTGTTTTCTGGAACTTGCCTCATGATTCTAATGTCCCTCAGGTTTAGAATCTGCCACCTGGAGTTAACTAGGTTAATGATTAAGGAGGGGGCTCCCCCCACCCCCAGGGGGAAGGCCATAGACCAGCACTGCACTGTTCTCTGTGTGGGACACAGGGTTCTGTGCTTTCTAACTGCACTCCCACAGATGTGTGGCTGCCTTCTCTGCTTATACCTTGGTGACAGCTACAGTTATTTCTCCAGGGAACCAGAAGGAAATGGGACAGGGAACTGTGTCCTAGCACAGCCCTTTTGGAGTCTGTATAAGCTCAGATTCTCATTCAGGCTATTTGGACTGGTGCCTGGGACTCCATATTTCTTTAGGCTCCAGGGTGAGGACAATGCTCTGACAGTCTGTGGTTAGAGTGACAGAATTCTGCGTGTCAGGAAACACTGAACAGTTGGTCAGGAAACCCCTGATGGTGACGACAGCACAGAATACACAGAGACTGATTAGCTTTCTTTTATGTGGTGCTACCGTATGTATTTCTTGTGTGTGTGTGTGTGTGTGTGTGTGTGTGTGTGTGTGTGTGTGTGTGTGGTGTTCTTTCAGTGCTCTCTTTCTTATTCAGGACTGACCTGAAGTAGTTCTATGTGGACTAGCTGATCTGAACATAGCGAAGAAGACAGAACAAAGGCACATTTGTGTCAATGAGGCCACATATCCTTTGAGTTCTGGGAACTTGGCAAAGCAGGTTCCTATTGATAATGTATAGGACAGGAAAATGGCTATGTGGGTGGTTCCAGATGAACTCCTCTCTAGAGGAGAAAACCAGTGCATATGAGGTGGTGGCAATGCCCTCCTATTTAGCTAGATCCAGCTTCATATCTAGGGTACTCTAAAGCAAAATCTTTATGATACATGTGGTGATATCTTGTACAAATAAAGTCTGTCTGAAGATCAGAGAACGGAGCTTGCCACTAGTTAACCACAGAGGTCTGGAGGTCTGTTCAGACATACAGAAAGTAAGATGGCTGGGTGGAGAGAGGATATATGCAATCTGGAAGAAACAGGAACTTGCTTCTTTTCTGCTGAGGTAAGGAGGTAAGGTGTGGATGTGGCTTGCTCCTTCCTCTCTTTGATCTCTCAGCATATTCCTCTATATATGATTTGGGTTTTTATTATTTAGATCAACTAACAACTCCCCTTTACAGATATACTTTAAGAAGTATTTTCAAAAGCCATTGCCAAGATGTTAGGCATCCAACCAAAACCAAACTACCAAAATCCATATTTGAGAGGGAAAAACTACCCTCTCCATTGTGGAATAGTTAACTAGGTAAAGATGTGTTATATTTGTTTATGCTGCAGAATATTACTTTAATTGTGTGAAGGTGTGTTACAATTATTTGTGCTGCATCTGTTTAACGATGTAAGGATGTGTTTAATTATGTGAAGATGTGTAGCTGTTTTGCCTTGCCTGCCTAAGGTACCTAATTGGTCTAATAAAAAGCTGAATGGCAATAGCTAGGCAGGAGAGGGATAGGCAGGGTTGGAGGGCAGATAGAATAAGTAGAAGGAGAAATCAGACAGAGAGAGAGAGACAGAAAGAAACACACATACACAAAGACAGACAGAGAGAGAGAGAGAGAGAGAGAGAGAGAGAGAGAGAGAGAGAGAGAGAGGAAAACAAGGGAGAAAGAGAGGGACATGCCTGCCCATGGCCAGAAGCCAGGCAGCCACCATCCAGCTATGGAGACGGAAGGGAAGAAGATATACAGAAAGAAAGAAAGAAAGGTAAAGAGCCCTGAGGCAAAACATAGATGAAGAAAATCAGATTAAAATAAGAGCGAAGATAAGGCCAGGCATTCCCAACTAATAAGAAGTCTCTGTGTTATGATTTGGGAGCTGGTTGATGGCCCAAAAGAAAGCTTGGTACACCTCTCAATAAAGGAGGCATCATCACAGGATGGAATCAGTGATCAAGGGAAGAGAATCTTAACTACCAGTTAGATGGGCACTTACAACAGGTTTCCCAGGAACAGCCAAAAAAGTTCCACATTGCTCCCTGAAAGCAACATGTGTCTGAGAATAAAGCCTGTTATAATACAGGTTGGCAAGTGATTCTGAAATATGTTCTCATTTGGGTTCCTTGTGAATGTACCCGTTTCTAGAGAAAGGGTTCTTATAGATGTCACTGCAGATTTTGATATGAAATAATTTTTGGATTAATTTGGGTCAATCCTAAATTAAATGACAAATGCAAGGGAGTTTTGAGACAAGTAGAAGAGGAGAAGCTTGTCATCAGGAAAGGATGAGATCAGAGCAATGCAACTCCAAGCCAAGGAATGCTGGGAGTCAACAGAAGCTGGGGGAAGTAGAGAGGACCAACCATTAGGACTTGCAGAGATAGCATCATTCTGATAATCTCTCTTTGAATGTGTATCCTTCATAACTGTGAAAGAATGGATTTCTGTTGTCTTAGCCTCCTGATTGGGGCAGTTTTTTTTATGACAGCTCCTTGGCAGCTGCCTTGTGGTTTATCCCTTTCCCACAAATCTCTGAAGTACATGCAATATACAAAACTGCACTTTGATACATTTATTCCAGATCATAGTTTAGGGTCAGAGAATTCATCCCCTGTAGTGAGGCCACAGATGGCTCAGCTGGCAGCAGAACTGTCTTCCTTCCTCAGCCTTCCTATTCCCACTGTGGTGGCCTGAACTTCCACTTTTACACTCTGACGCTGAATTTCAGAGAAAATAAGGATGCTGCTGACACAGAGAAGAAAGGTAGCAGAGATGCTCTGAGCTGAATTGTGGTCCAGGTGACAAGCCCATCAGTGAGCACAGGATGGAGAGCCAGCTTCCCCATCCTCTGGGCTAGAGGTTAGGCTGTTCAATGCTGACTCCCACAGAAGTCTGTGAATGCTTAAGTTGCCAGAGATTTTCCTTGGTTTATATCTGCCCCCCAACTCTAACCAAGCAACCATTTGCCAAATAGAACTGTTTTCTGTTCCTGTGTGCTACCCAAGAGCTCCTCTATGCACTCAGAGCCACTGAGAACTGGAGTGTTTTCCCCTTCAAGGTCCTATCTTCCAGAAAGTTCTACAATTTCTTAGCCATCCACCAAATTAAGAAACACCCCCAAGATCACACAGCAAGGGATTGAAGGACTTCAGCAATTCTCCGTGGTACCACCAACCTGCTTGTCAGTTTGCACCCAGAGCAACATGTAACCAAGTCAACATGTATGCAAGCTCAATAAATACCTAAGTAAACAGAATTCAGAATTAGTATCTCAATAAATACCTAAGTAAACAGAATTCAGAATTAGTATCTGTATTCATCGCTTTCCACATTTCTGGGATAGCATATATGACTGAAGCAATTAAAGAGAAGAAAAATTCACTGTGCTCATGGCTTCACATAGGCCAGGCCATCAGGGTGAAGAAAGCATGGCACACATGCCATAGCAGTTAGGAAACAGAGAGAGGAAATGTAGGGAGAGGCCAGCATAGGCACAGCTCCTAGAGACACTCCGGATGGGACCACTTCCTCTGGCTAACCCCACCCCCTAATTTTTATCACTTCCCAGTACTATCAATCATATATATGAATCCCTCAAGGGACTGATACATTCATTAGGCCAGCACCCACAGGATCTAGCTGTCTCTAGAGACTGCATCACAGACATGGCCAAAGGTGTCCTTCACTAATGCCTTTGCATTTCTTAGTCCAATCCATTTGACAGCCCAAATTATTATAGCACATCAATTTTCCCTCACTGAAGGTGTTATTTTTCCATTATAAATATTCCTTAACTATTCCTGCTGTTTTTTTCCCTATATTCACAGACGAGCTATGATTGAGTTTTGCTATACACATTTGGTTATCCTAAAGCAATCACATCACTTATTCTGGCTTTGTACACAGAGAAAGCCAGGCTCTAGGTTTTCTTCTGTGGGAGTCACAGGGTTTTTACTTGTACCATCACACAGTGGCTGCAAGTGACTCTTGGTATGTGTGCATGAGTGTCCAGTGTCTCAGTCCTGGCCTTCTCAGTCCTGATCTAGCTGCACACTCATGCTAGGCCAGAACAAGTGGCCTGTGCACAAAAATGCTGCCACTGAACACCCAAGCATAAAGCAATCTCTGTGTCTCAAGAAATCGACCTCCCACTGGGGCACGATGGCACTATTGAGGCATCATCTTGTGGTTCCTGTTTCCTCTAAAACAGCAGTTCTCAACCTGTGGTTCCAGACTCTTCTGGAGTCACACATCAGATACCCTGCATATCATATACTTACATTATGATTCATAACAATAGCAAAATCACAGTTATGAATTAGCAATGAGATGATTTTATGGCTGGGGATGTCACCACAACGTGAGCAACTAACTGTATCGAAGGGTCACAGAATCAGGAAGGTTGAGAACCAATGCTATAGAAATAGGAGTTGGAGTTCAGAGGGCTATCTGTTACTTACTGGTTATTCATTGTCCTTGGCATCTGGCAAATGAGAGGGATCTTCAGCTCAGCCTGTGGAGACAAAAACAAATTCGTTAGTGGGCCTTATGCATCATGTTTAGTTGAGTTGAACATACTCCCACTTGTTCCTAGTAGGATTTGATACCGGTGCTGGCCTAGAGGAAGCAAGAAGAAGCAAATCAATCTAGGTCAAAAATTGGTTTATTTCTGGCACAGGGTGGGGGGAGAGGACTCCCCCTCCCCTGACATGCTGTCCTCCTTCTGTCAGCATTCATCCCATCTGCCCTGGGGAGCTGAGCAAACAAGCACCGGGTCTGGTTTTCCCTTGCGTGCAATTGTATGCTTCCCCTGGGCACCTAGGAAGCGTTAGCCCAGGCTCCATTGGCTCGGCTCCAAGGAGTCCACGGACTTGCCAATGCAGGCTGGAAAAAGGATGCTTTTCATTTCCCTGTGACTTTTCCATAAAATATTTACTGCAAGTTTCATTTGTATACCACTTTGCACCAGCCAGCCACCACATTTTATTTGAGTCCAATATTCACCCTCAGAGGAGGGATCATTAGCTCCATTTACCATATAAATTAGCAGCAAGACTCTGGGCGCATAATGTAAGTGCCTTACATCAATGACCACGTTTAATTTGTTCCAAGACTCAGAATTATAAAGGATATTTCACTGTATTTTCGGGAGGTCCATTCAGAAACAGAGTTCTCATATTAGATAATTTGACAATAGTGTAATAGGATCTTTTGGAAGTTGTGAGCTGGTGGGATATTAGGGATAGTGGAGTGCCTGAGGGTGATAGAAAGGGGGTGATGTCATTGTACTTGGGAGGGCGAAGGGAGGGAGTTGTAATTAGGATTCAGAGCCTGAGTGGAAGAGCTTCAGGTAGGAGCTGCAGAGGGTGGGATGGAAATAGCAATTTCATAATCCTCCTACCCCAGACCATCTGCTGCCATCACCCATTGGCTAATGTCAAGAAGAATCCAGGAGTGAGGAACTATTCATCAGTTCATGCCCATCAGACCTCTGGGCTCCAAATAAGTGGGACAGGGCAGAAGATGGATCTCACATCTTGAAAATGAAGCTCACATAGGTTGAATGATGTGCCAGTGTACACCTATCAACAATAGGAGCCCGCATCAGAAATTCTGGTTCCAAATGTGTCATTATATTGCACATAACCAAGTCTCTGTACCTTAAGCCGACTCTGCTGTGTATCTACCCAGCGGTTTAACCCAACCGTCATGGACTGAAGGCTTTGTGTAAATACTGTACCCAGTGAGATCCAACCCCTGCCTGCAAGAGGCTTCTAAAGCTAATGCAGTTTCTTCACTCTTGTATGTAGATGATGTTGGCTAAAAGTGCATTGTAAAAATAGACGCATCCAAGACAGGGTGCAACAGGCACCAACTGTACCATGAGGAAGAAGACGGCTCTTTACACGGTAGCTGAAGCTGGAGCGAGAGCCAAGGCTTGCCAAAGAAGGCTGGTTCTTCCAGACTCAGAGATAAGGTATTCTCCAGGCCAATGTACACAGGCCTTAGACTTCTTGGAGTACAGGGTCTTTGCATAGATGGATGGACCATCACAGAGGTCATGCTGGCACTATATGGAGAACTTGAGGAAACCACTCATTGTGAATGGCAACATGGTTCATCTCCAAAGGTGGGATTCATATTTAATCTATGTGATCATGGAGTAATAGCTGCAGAAAAGATACCTGTGTATTGTTTCATGCCACACCTATCCTCTTATGGCTCAGGTCTGTCACTGACAACAAGGAAAAGAGCTGTTGTTAGGTTTCTGTTCACCCGTGGCTCTTTGGACAGGGAAGTGTGTCTTGTTCACTAGAAGTCATCTCCTCCATGGTGTTGGTGAAGAGGATTAAAACCGTATCAGTGAGACACAAACAAGTCATAAGTCCCTGGCTAAGGAAAGAGTAAGAACTGTGACTATCTCAATGGGCAGCCTTGGTGGAGAACTTAGTCTCTTGTCACCTAGAAATGGTGGCATCAATATTATAGTTTTCCATTATGGAGTTAAGTGTTAAACTAATGTATATGAAATTGTCTTATAAACTATAAAATACAATGAAGTATAGATGTACCACTATTGATGTAATAAGGTTAACAAGCTTTATTAACATCAATCATGTCATACATTTGGTATGTGGGTTTAATATCAATTTTAACATATTAACACCTAATGAATGTAATTTATATGATTATGATTAGATAGGAAAAATGGTCTACCCTCAAGCATAAGGACTTTCTTTTACTTTTTTTTTACATTTCCCCCATTTATTTATTTATTTATTTATTTAATATATGTATTTAAACTAGACACATGCTTACTTCACATGTCAATCCCAGCTCCCTCTCCCTTCCCTCTTCCCTTGTTCCTCCACCAGTCCCCCAACCCCCCCACCCAATCCTCACACCATTCCCCAGAGAGGGTAAGGCCCTCCCTAGGGGGATCTCCAGAGTCTGTCATTTCATCCAGGGCAGGACCTAGGCCCTCCCCCATGTGTCCAAGCTGAGAGAGCATCCCTCCATGTGGAATTTTCCCCTTTTTAAAAATTATATTCGAAACAAACTTCTTTTACATGTCAATCCCAGTTCCCTTTCCCTCCCCTCCTCCCCATAAGGACTTTCTTGTACTTTCTTTGTTCCTTTGTATATATTTAGTGACACTAAAGTGGAATCATGCTCTCTACAGAGGACCCCCTGCATGCCTGGCTCTTAGTCAGGTCTTAGGTACACAGCCACCAGGCACAGGCCAGTTCTTCCAAGGCTTCCTTACATCAGGATGGTGGGAATCGGACCAATCCTGATTCTGTTGTCTGCACTGTAGCTCCGAACAAAGCATGAGAGCTTGCTTGGTCTCATTCTCTTCGTCTGGAGGAAGAAATTGGGTCAACTAAGTCTCTTTTGACTCAAAGATTCCAAAAAATAGTTCCCTTAAACACTATAATCCATCCACATTTGATGACAACAACGTTTTTAAAATGTTAGAGGTATGTTATTATATTTCTTGTACTTTATTGTCTTCTCCAATGGAGCTTCTTGTAGAACAAAACTGCAGCGGACTCTGCAAAATAGCTATCACCGAGGAAGGACATCAGGAAGACTGAAAGGAATGTTTGTTGCTTATATGTAAACCTTTGTAATTTATTTGATATGTCTTATTTGTATTTTAAAATATTAGGGAAAGTTTACGTCCTTCTGTTAGTGATTTTTGAGAGATGTGAGCTATATATTATACAGCGTTTTAAAATATTTATTTTTAAATGAGCCAAACTCTTTCAGAACCATAAAAAGTAAAATTTCGTGTGTGAGCAAGTCAGTGGAGCTTGAGTCAGCCAAGCCGCAGGACCTTGGCAGGGCAGACAGAGTACTCACTACAAGGCCACAGCTCTCTACTCCACCCAGATTGTCCTGAGCTCTTCTGAGAACACAATGCTCTTATCTGATTTCCTTTTTGTAAAGGATGTGGTAAGGGGTTAGTTAGAATTGCAGGTCTGCCAGTTTTATGAAGATAATTCATAGTAGAAAAGACATGTATTTTTTTTGCAAAGATAACTGAACAAATTGTGATGCTATTCATATTCTATGTTACAGTGACTCACTAAGTTTTTCTAATCATCTTTATTTGATACAAAGACAAATTGATATTCATATGTTCTAAGTAACTGGGTTTGCAAGGCATACACATACCTGATACTTGAAACCCATTTGGTTCTGACACTCTGGCTATGCTTTGGGGCAGCTATTTGCTTGTTTAGAGCCTTTATTTATTTTTCTGCAACATAGGGGTAGTATACCAGTGATTGCTTAGGGTGTTTGTGAAGATGACAGGAGACATCTATGACAAACACGAAGTGCACAAGTGTTTTCTCTTGCAGCTAACACTGGGTCAGTCATCAAAATAGCAGAGTTGCTACTGTAGCTGGCTTTCCTCTGAGCACAGATTCAATTGAAGACAAAACAACAACAAAAACCAGGAGAACTCACAGAAAATACACAGTCAAGGACAGAGAGGAAAGAGGGGCAAAGCTAAAAACCAACAGATGTGCAAAACACCAAGAACTTGAACCTTAAGACAAAGTAAATGCCTTATATTGCTTCCATGTTTGAGTGTCCAGAAATTTGGAGTGCATACCCCATGCTTATAGACTCTGGCTCCATAACCACAGGTTCGGTCAGCCCTTTGGATCCACCTGGGTCATAAAATGTAAGGTGTCCTGAAGTGCCCACTTGGGTTGCACTGGACAGCAGTCTATGTATGATGGTAGTCTAAATGCCCCAAATATTTTAGATGAGATTTGGATGCTTAGATGATATGGTCATAGACTACCCCAGATAGTCTAATTGGTAGGCTAACCATACTTCAGTGTCTGGACACACACCCAAGAATATATGAGCAGCACAAATTGAACTACATGGGTTAAAAACAAATGATGACACCAAGATAAGTGGACAGTGTACTTAGGAGAAATTTGGAGAGGGTATATTATCAAAATAAATTGTATGAAATTTCAAAGAACTAACAAAAATGAAAAAGAACAGAAAATAAAGTCACACGTATTCAAAATGTTTTAAGTTTGTGATTTTCCTTGGGATGTATTCATAGCCATATGTGGCCTCTGGGGCTGTTAGGTTGTAAATACCTGGAAGTCCAAAGACTGCACAGGGGAGCCAGAGTCTGATCACCATTTATTTACTTTGAATTAGAAATCTAAGGTTTCATTTTCAGTGGTAGAGTCCCCTTAGTTTTCTTTGCTCCAGTACATGTTTCTGACATCCAAAATGAGGAATTAAAACAAAGAGTCCACTTTTTCCACCCTTACTCATACAGCACTTGAAGTTTTAGCCCAGCAGTAAGATAGGAGAACAAACAAATGAAATCAAGGAAAGGAAGAAGTAGAATCACGACTATTTGTTCTATGACACCCTGAGGACTCTACCAGAAAACTCTGATAAGCAGATTGATTACAAGCCAACATGAAATTTACCAGGTTTCCTATCTACTAGTATAAACATGTTTAG